GCCCAAAATTGCCTGGGAGTACGCATTTTGGAACTTTCAAGCGCCCAAAACTAAAACGTGTACTCCCGCCTGCCCCCCCTCTCAGAGCCCCAGTTGCTTGGCAGCACGAATTTTGTGATTTTCAAGGGCCCAAAACACTAAAATGTGCACTCCCGCCAAGATTGCCTGGGAGTACGCACGTGTACATGCTGTTGGTCTTCTTCTGCAAAAGCAGCCTTTTCTGCAGCCACATTCAAATGTTGTCGGGATTACAATAAATCCTTGTCACTGTGAGAAAAAACCTGTCGTAGTAAGACAAAACCTGTCATGGTACCAGCACCCCATTACCGCCTGGAGCGTCCAGCAGAAATAATTGGTAGGCAAAGGGGCGTACGACATGGTTCCGACGGTCAGCCCCGCAGCGCATGCCCTGCCTTGAGCAATTGCTGCAAAAGCGCGGATGTTGCAGAACAAGGTTTCAACGTCACGAGCTTCCTCCTGGTGATGCGCAAAGCTTGCAGCAGGAAATAGCAGGAATGAAATGCAGCTTCTGCGCTCGGTCATATTGTCCTGGTTGAGGGCATTCATGTCCCCTCCAGCGCTTGGGTCACCCCACATCACCAAGGAGCCATCCGACTTTGCTGCCACGAAAGCCCCAGCATTTGCCCAAATATTCACAATGCCGCTCTGCAGAAGTTGAGCGACGCTGCTGGAGTCACCACCTACGCTGGCATCGCCCCAGGTGACAACTTGCCCACTCTCCTTTAAGGCCGCAAAGGCAAACTCAGTGCTGCCTGAGCAGGCGAGAATGCATGTATGCCTGTGCAGCCTGTGCATGTAAAGAGGTATCTGAAAAGGGACAAAACTTGGCACAGGCCCAGTCGCAGACCTTCACAACACCAGATGCCAAGGCAGCTCCGAGCCCTGGCTGCCCACCAGCGTCTGGATCACCCCAGCCTTGCTTTGAGCAGTACGAGTGTACGGTTTCGTGTACTGTTTCATGGGTCCTTCCATCCTTCCATGTCTGCATGCCACGGGCACATACAATCTGGCCGCCCTCCCTGAAAGCAGCAAAAGCCTCAGGTGACTGGGTAGCATGGGCTACGGCTACGGCAGGTCAGCAGATTCGCACAGCTGATACTCAGCTGCTGCCGCGGCGCCCACTCATTGTGGCAAATCTGGAAGGCCCGCGACTTCAGGTGATCTGCGACTCTGTTGGAATTGCCGCCGCAAGCTGGATCACCCCAGGTGGTGACTGCACCTACCAACCGAAAGCTTTCGACGTCACAGAACACGTCAGCCAAAATAACCTCTTATGCCTGGCAGAAAATCGGATCGAAACATGCTGAACAACTGACTCGTCAACTGCAGTTTGCTCTGCCTGACTGCGACACTGCCGCGAAAGCGCGCGTGTTGCCAACCACGAAGGTTATCCCTCCAGACAATCGGTCGGTGAGCGAGAGAGGAATTGCGCCACCTGCGCAGCTGTACAAGCTGAGCTACCAGGAAATCTTGCATTCATTTCTGCTGCGCATCGCTTAGCAACGAGAGGCAAGTCAAAGCCTGCAGAAGCATCACCCCAGGCCACAACGCCGTAGATGTGCACAAACACAACCACGACCAGCTCAATCCTGCCATGAGCTCACGTAATTATTTGTGAGCCTTTGCTGCCAGAGTTTCGTGCTGAAGCACGACCCCACCCCCAGGAGACATCTCTGGCTGATTCGCGGCGCATGCTATTGCATGAAGAACATCTTTCACACAGCCGCAGCTTTGAACCCCCTGGAGCCTGGGAGCTGCCTGAGCCTCTTTGGTCTCGTCCGATGGCAAACTCTTGGAGCTGCCAGCTGCACCGAGGCTCCTCCTCACTTGCGCCAAGTGCCTGGCTTTCGGCAAACTCAGCGAAGCCAGTTTGCATCACCGAGGGTTACTGTATGAAAAAAAATAATGCAGCCGCATGTCGACAATGTGTCAGGCGAGTATTTTCCAGTACCTCGCACATGTATAATAGCCATGTCAGGATGAGTCTGGGGAGGAAGGCCCGCCTTCCTTCTGCTCGTCGAATCTCAGATTTCGCAAGTTCTCCTTGGCATTCAACTCTACTCCACGAATCCACGAATGCTGGCCAGAATGGATGTCAAGAACAGAAGCATTTTCAGATCTGAACATACAGGGATGCGACAAGACTGGCTATTCCATACACTGCAACATTCCTGTCGTTCAAAATTGGCTGAATGATTACTGAATGAACACAGCTACTCGGACAACATTCCCGGGCATCCCCACGTGTAGTGCTGAGTCAATGGCTAGGTCGTCAACCGCGCGCCGATTGTGCAGGAAATGCACCACAGCGCCCAGAGCTATGAAGTTGTACAGCTGCAGGGCCCGGGTCACGCTACCTTTGATGACCTCAGACTGAGTTAAACTCAAATATGAGCAGAATCGGACTGCGCATGGAGAACTCGAAGCAAACACTGCTTACTGCCTCCTGTCGAGAGTGGACAAGCAGGCGCTGCTTGATCTGCGAAATACTCACGCCCAAGGACACCACGTCCGGCCTTGCTTGCCCACAACATGAAAGAATAAATGGCACCTACCAGCATCTGAAGCTTTGGACCAGGCCCCATCATCAGCTCCCCCTTCAGTCCATGGAGGACGAGCCTGAGGTGCTAGCTGCCAAAAGGAGAGGAAGATAAAGGAAAATCTCACAGCACTCAGCGTTGTTTGCACTCACTCACACACTGGCAGCACGGGCGCTTGGCCAAATCAGCCAAGCAGCTCGATGGTGTCGGGCGGCATCTCCTTCTCTGTCCGTCTCAGGGGCGTTGGTGGAAGGAAGTGAAAACCTGGAAGCCCACACTTGAGAGAAGCTAATTGCGGGGACATGCCTAAAACTCACCATGACGGCCTCGCAGTGTGTGGTCTACAGCCGGCTCTCCGCCACCTCCGCTTTATGCAGCTGCTGGCGAGCACAAAGACAACAATGAGCAGACTCTTCTTTCAAACCGTCATCCGCGGCCAAGATGCGTGCAGGCGCTCTTGACCACCCTCTCATGCCGCGCTTGAATCTGAGCATGGCTCTCACTGCCTGTCAGCTCAAGCCATGCTGAGCTAGCCAACTCCACAAGGAGAAACAGTGTTGGCCTTGATGGCAACCTTCCATGCACGAGCATAGTCCTCTCACAGTGACGAGGCACCAATTAGTCTGCTGCTGTCTACTGCGTCAAACAGGTGCACAGCGCCGTGTCCTTGTGGACGGCCTGCCAAGCATGAACGATTGCACCAGGACAAGCATGTAATGAACAGCCACAAAGTTGCCGTGATATTTTGTCAGGCATCTGCACAGGCCTGCTCACGCCCCAGCGCAATGTTCAGCTCGTTTTTGTACAGGAGAGCCATCCACTTGCTAGATCCGCCGCGCCGTCGATGACAAAGCTCTAAAAGTCACATGGCTGGGGCAGCTCCATGGAACGCAGCCTTACGTGTTGTCCTGAAAAAGTCCTGGGCTACGCAGGTAGGACGGTTCTAGTTACGCAGCACTTGCAAGCTTTTCGTGTGCGTCTGAGTACCAAACCCCCTACCTTACAGCAGTCGGATCTGGGCCGGTAACCTGGTGGTAAGAGCGAGCGATAAAAGCAGACTTGAACCTAAAGAGTGGGCCATTTGTTTTGTTCTACGGTTGGATCAAAAGAAAGACTACTCGGCTACTCCGAGCCAGTCACTCACTCAGTCAGGCAAGTAGCTTCTTCTTCAAATTCTGGCAACCGACCACGTACCTTCGCTATGGCAGCAGTCCAGGCCTGCATCAAGCTGCCAGGCCTGCGGCAGTCAGCTTAAAATTCAAAGCCTCTGAACATGTCATGTCAACGTGTTCGGGTGGCAGTTCCAAGCGAAGCGAGGACCTTTCTCCGCGTGGGAGCTCAGCGCTCTTGCAACTGCTGTGCCAGCTCATGCCATCAGATCCAGCGCGTTGGCGGAGCCTTGGTAGCAATGCACATGCAAAAGACGGCAAAACAGGAAAGAGAAGGTCACCCTGTACAGCTATGGATTTCCAACCGCTGCAATCTCTGATTTTGTCCACTCCGGCATGCATGTTGCAGGAGGCCGGCTAGAGCCAAGGTGGCTTGAAATGAGTAAGTGTGGCCACCTGACCAACCCTCCCTCTAGGCCCCCGACAGGCCTCCATCATTCAACATGCCCTAGACAGCACGACTCTCCTGGTGAAACGCTTCACCCTTCTGGCGAAGCAAGCCAGGCGGCAGTTTTCGCCTGTTGGAGAACACCGGGCCCTCCTACTGAGAGCTCAGTGCTCCAGGTGGTGGGAAGTGAAACTCTGATGACCGGAGGAGCGCTGTCACAGCATCCTGAGCACAAGCACCAAGTCCCTTCTGAGCTCGGCCCATTTTCAAACATATTGGTGGGATCACGCTTTTCAAGGTACCAAAAGACATGTTCGTGGTCAACGTCTTCATACCTAATTGAAGCCAAGAAGAAAAACAATCACAGATGGCAACAATCTCGATCCTAAGTCGCATCATTAAAAGATAGTGGACATCATGCTAATAATGCAAATCACAGCAGGGTATCATATAAACAGAATCAGAAGACTTCTGACAGTACTAGTACGAGTGGTGCTGGTGGAGTAGCATACAAGTCTTTGATGGGACATCTCGAGAAAAAAAAGCAGCTCCAAAATACTGATTTGGTTGGATTGAGCTCTGAGAGAAAGCAGGCCACGAACTTGAATATGAGGGGCGTACACAATGCTATGCTCTTTGAGACAAGCAGACATTTTGTGGGGGTTTACATAGTCAGGGGTACTTTTTGGGCGGCAAGGATTGTAGTATAGTAGGGTCTATGTTGGGATCCCCCCCACTTTTGGAAACCTATCATGTACTTATATCCCCTCGCGAAAGGCACTTGCCATGATGGCATGCGGCCCTTTGAGGCACACCCGCGGCTTTGAAACGGCAAGGAGTTGGATTCCCATTACTTCCAGCCGACTTTACATCACTACGATAGGTTGACTTTTTTGTTTTTGTCAGGCAAGCACCGCGGTTTTACAGCAGAGCTTGTGGCGCGCAGCTGCGCCCATGTGCAGCAATAGCAGTAGTTCTAGCAGCAGCAACAAGAAGCAAGAGTAGTAGTAATTATGACAACAGTGAAACTAGTCAGCTAGTCTTGGTTAAGGTAGCCCTGGTAATCATGTAGTAGCCACGATAATGGAGTGTGGTAGAAAGGAATTGTGACGTTTAATTTGCACCACGGTTCAAACATCAATCTGTCTGATGCTCTTTGAAATGCTGTTTAAGTTCACATATGCTCGGCTTGCTGGTTCAAGTTCACGTGGGACCGTCTTCAAAATGGTTGGTCGCTTCCTTCGGCGTCCCCATAATCGAAGTCCTGGTTTTGAAAAAATTCATACCAGCAAGTCTCGGGAGGCAGCCTTCGAAACAGGATGAGACAGATGGGACCACATCTGCCAAACAAGGGGTTGGCCGAACTTTGCCAAAGAATTCGGCCCATCGCCCTAGGGAATGCCAAAAACAAGTACTGAATATCCAGGCCAGCATCGGACGCATGAAACTTGACGGGCGTTCATTTCGCATGTTGCGGGTAAGCGTGGTGACCTTCCAGAACACTGCTTGTCATGAGGTGGTTGGCTCAAGAAAATGCATTGCTACAATTCAAAGTGCAAGCGCGTAGCGGATGGTGTTGGCTTTGCCACATACCGTGGAGCACCAACCTTGAACGCCTTAATCAGCGAGATGCAGTTGCTCCCAAAAATGGTGACCCCGCCCTACCAACAAAATTTACTGATGCCATCCACATTCTGCGGTGCTGCAAGATGCTGGCATGTGGGCCCTGATCTGTTGCAAGCAAGGTGCAGGCGGTGCATCCTCGTCCTGACAGTGTGTTGATGCACATTTCATGGCGCTGACAGTCAGTCACGTGTGATGCACGCCTTTGGCTTTCGTTTGAGAGGCTCCTCTGGGCACGGAATATACCTAAGAATTCCATCTAGGCAGGTTGCATAGCCGAGAACAGAGAGGCATGATATAGTGCTGAGTGACTCTGGGATTCCACCCATCAGGCAGCCCACTGCATCTCTTTTCATCGGGTTAGCAGGTCGGAAGGGCGACTCGTGCGGGTACTTCACCTTGGCTGCGAGTGCAAACCCTGAACATTCCCGGGTGCGACATCTCTTGCAACTCAGGTCCCACTCCCTGGCCTGCCGCATCTATGACAAGTTGAATAACCAATTCTAACTCCATTCTTCTGCAAAGCTGCAGCCGTGTCAGGTGGCGGATCCCGGGGCACGTGGGTCGGTTGCTCGTATCCTGCGAGATTACATGCAAGCAAAGCCTTCTCTGAACTAGAGCCCGCAGCCTAGATGGTCCTCCAAAGGCCTCCTCGTTGCTTTGGAAGAACTTATTGCCGTAGTCAATGCCCTTGAAGGGCTGCTCCTGAATCCTGCCTGAGATGGTTGTACAGGAGGATGAGCCACCCTGGAAAGAATGTAGTGCTCGGATCCAGGCTGTGGTGCTCTTCCAACTCCTTCTTGCGCTGTTTCCTCCACGGCAATTTCTTTGACATCTGGTGTGGGCCCGAAGCCCTATCAACAATCTTCCCCAGCTACAGCGGTGGCCTGGCCTAGCAGCATCGTAATCATCTGGAACATGTTCTGGAAATGCACCCGGCTCCTATCATACGCGTAGACCTGTACTGTACTCCCCAACAGCCCACTCAAGCACTCGCACATGCTCACTGCGCCGTCGGTCCCCGAAGCCAAAGAGTACCCCCCCTGTGAGAACTCCAGGTCCGCCTAAAGCCAGTCATGTTCCGTCTAGGAGAAAGGACTCGTGACAAGGTTGGCTGCCTCTCTTCGAGTTTCCACCGAAAATGTTGCGAGGAGGAACGTACTCCGCATACCTTGTCGGCATTTGCTGTCTTACGCCATTTTTGGCATTGCTTTTGTGCACAAGGACCGCCCATCCCAAAATGGGTCCATGCCAGGCTGCTTCTCCTTGATTGCCTTGGGGTCCTTCACTTGGTCACAATGTTCCACCTCAGCTTGTAAGTATCCTGACCCCATGTCTGCCCTTTCAAGCTGCAACATATGCAAAGCTCGAGGCATACTCGTAGCCAAGCTTGTTGATACCTCATGGAAGGGTCCCGCGTGCTGGAGGCTCAATGGACTTTTCGGCACACTCGCCAAGTTCTGCCGAGCTGCCAGTCTTTACCGTTCCCGGCGGCTTGAAAGCAGCATCTGGATCCAACATCCAAATCTTCCCCTTTTTCATGGCTGCTCCGGGGTCGGTGTACCTCACACAAATAAGGCCCTTACCAGCAAGATTGTCGCTCGCATCACTTTTGCCGTCAAAAAGCGGATCGCCAAGGCCCAAAGGCGTCTCGAACTTGAAATACACGTCAGGTGTCGTTCCTTTCCTTACGAGTGTCAGGCGCAAACCCATGGTGACAACGTGCTGGTTCTCTTTAAGCCAGCGTCTTTGTTGGAGCTGTCTGGATGTTCCTCGTGATCTCCTCGTCATCGTCTGACACAGGCTTTTTCATCAGCCTGGAGGCATTATAGCGACCTTTGTGTAACTACTATGGTTGCAACAAATGATTCAATAAAAAACTGGGTTGGAAACTTCGGTGCATATGAGTTGTCTCCGATGGCCAGTGGGCCAGGTATGCCGAAGTAGCCCCATCTGCAGAAGGATGCAAGCCACAGGAACTCCCTCCACAAATTCTAAACTCAGCATTGACCACTCTATCCTTGCAGGCTTTAGTCAGGGCAAGCGCCTTGGCTCGTTGGAGCTCTCAATGGACTCGGTGAAAATCTTCGTCCGAAGCGCGGCAAACTTATCCTGTGTGCCGAAGAGAGCTTTCATCCCACACCGGGACACAGCCGGGCAGCTTACACCCCGAAGTCAGGTTTGGCAAACTAAGCCACCTGAATTCCACAATTATGTGGCTGTTTGTATTGAAGGGCTTTTTGCACAGCTTTGGCAGGAAACGACTCTTCCAGCCACCCAGCTTGTTTGCAACCAAAGGCAGGCGTGTGGAAATTGTGCTGCCCACTCAGCAATCATGAATGTGCATGAATGTGTTCATTTGTTTCATTGAGGTGTCACTGTGCTCCTTGTCTCATCTGTTCGCCTGTCTTAATGAGCTAATGGACCTTGATCACCTCCTTGGTGTGCATAAGAGGCACAAACTCGCAAGTTCACACTTTGATGGGCCACGCCGAGCTGTGCCAGCAAGCCCTCTTAATGAGCTGACCGTGTCTGACCAGAGCTTCAAGCGACATACAGTATGCAATGAAGGCACAAGAGTGTCACAAGAGCTGACCCAAACGCGTCCTCAGCCTCGACCATGCTTCACGCGTCCCTCCTGGCAAATGGACTCAAGATTGAAGTCGAGCCCCACAAACGTCTGCCGGTCCTTGCGCCCCGCTCGAACTACAACGTGCCCATGCAGGGCTTCCGTCACAGTTCCCATATACAATTTGAGCCAAACATGGGCAGAACGTCATGGCTTACTTGACATTTGAAGTCGACGCTTGCACTTGGGTTTGCATCTCATGTCAAGTAAACGGCGGGGCCCTGACACAGCTGCACCTGGCGAAGGCAGACATGGGCCTGGCGAGCGGGTAAAACAGTCCCGTTGCGCGCATTTTGCAAACGCCATCCGCGCAATCTTTTTGTTCACTTCTTCTTTCGCTGTCCCGTTGTGTTTGCTGCGCGGCCTGCACCAAGTCAGAGCTAGACTCTCGAGTGGTGCCATGGATGGCCACTGCCTTTTCATGTTGTGTGTGGTGCAGTCATGCGCATCCTGGCAAACTGTAGTCGAAGTAGCAGACTTGCAGTGCTGCAAGTTCGTTGCCCAGGCCATGGACTTTGCAAACGGCATGCTAATCTTCAGAACCAACAAGATCTAACTTTCCCTTGAACGTGAGAACCCCACAGCACCCCTGTCGGTCGCCTCTGCTGCTCCAGCCGGCATCATCTAAGAGAGCTGAAGCTGCCCGAGCAATGTGCTTGAACCGGTCTGGGCCTTGAGCGACACGTTAAACTTAGCCCTGGACATCAATTTTCGTCAAACTGGGCAAATGTGAAGTTCAACCCGCGTGTGCCATGTCAGCAGACTTTCTAGAATGTTTCCAATATTCGTGACACACTTGGGGGAAGACCCAAATGGATTCCACCATACCACCGGCTGACCATCACGAACACGTCCTTGGCTGGACACCGCAGCGCCCTTTCCACATACGCATCCGTGGTGGGCAAGGTCTTGCCGAGTCACTTCACACCCTGCAAGATTCAGGAGCTCTGCTAGCTTTGAGCCGGCCCCATCCTGCTTTGGGCAAATCTTTGTGTAACGGGTGCAGCAGGATCAGTTCACCCCCAGGCTCGTCCTCCCCATCATCCTCGTTGTCCGCCACTTGTATATTGCGGGCATCATCATGGAATCTCGGCATGTTCCCAATGCTCCAGACAATTTTTGATGAATGTCATTTCCAGAAACCGCAGCTGTTGCCTGTACGCAAACATGTTGTGAGTTGCGACAGCAACCTTTCGATCTTCAAGGAGTGTTCGCAGGACCTGAGTTGAGGGCTGCCGCTTAGTGTTTGCATCTGCAGTGAATGTCCGTGTACTGCACGTATTCTAGACAAATACCAAGACAGCACGTGCTTGGCCACCTGAACACTTGGTTCGCTAGCTGCTGCTGCGACACCCAGTTCACCTGGCCTTGGCTCGACACTTTGGCTGCAAAGCCTTGGAAAGTGGATTTCCGGTCCTCAGCTGAGATTCTTCACCTACATTCCCAGGCAAGCTGCTGAGCCTCAGCTTTTACGACAGCCAAGTCAAGTTGCAACGAAGGGCTCGCCCCGGAGAATCTCCACCGAGTTCGCGTCATCAAAGCTAGAATCATCAAAGGTGCGGCGCCGCTGTCCTGCAAGCATCTACAACCACATGGCCGGGGACTCGGTAAAGGAAGCAAGCGCATCAAGAAGTGTCCATACTGCGGATTTGCAGGCAAGAATGTGAACGACTTGGAAGTTGCAGCCTCGCACGTTGTCCCTACACCACCTGAATACCATGCGGCTGTTGTTCAGTTTCTGTGCCTGTGCAGCCGCCACCTCCTCTGCGGCAGCAATGGACTGGGCGACAGCCGCATCCAACCTCACTTCTCTGACCCTTGAAATCAGTTTTGTCGTATCATCTCAGCTGCAACTTGTCAATCCTGATGCTGGGTCCAAAATCGCCGTCCGCCGGTCCCTGGACTAGTCTTGTCAATCTTGATGAGTAATGAAACTGGAGTGGCATGAAAATGTGAAAGGATTCAGTTATGAACACGTGGCGGGAATTTCCGCATCTCGGCTCTCTTCTGTACTGCTCAATTTTCCGAATGTATCCACGCCACTCATCCCGTTGCAGAACTTCGGCAGTGAGAGCTGGCTCCAAACATTCCCGCAAGCGCTCCACCCACCTAGGAAATGAGGGGGTGCTGTAGGAACCAAATGCCCTCGGGAGGACCTATGTGGGGGATTTTACAACCATGTCACAACTTCACAATTGTTTCAAGCGTCTGATAGATGCAGCCTTCGCCTTCAGACTCTGCTGGAGGCTCCCAGTTTTCAACCAGCTCTGCGATGGCTTCGGTGGCTGCATGCTGAAGAGCCCGTGAAGCTCCTCGCTAAAATAAGCACTTTGCGAAAAGGCGAATTCCTTATTTGTCGAACCAATGTGTTGCCACATGGCGCTGTCTCGCGCTGCCACTTCAGTAACATGTGCAGCCATGTTCAAGTGAAACTCTTGCCTTTCAGTGCAATGCTTCCTTCGCAGTCAAACAAAGGCACAGGTGGCGCCCCGGAGCGGGGATAACCATCCTGAGCTCAACATGTCAGGCCTGAAAACAAGGAAATGCTGCCGGGCCGCCGGGAGCAAGAATCGGACGGCTGCAGAAGGAGCTCCGGCTGTACCGGGTAGAACCACCCTGCAAGGCACATCACACAACACCCCGGAAAAGCGTGCCCAGACCCATCGGTGAGGATGCACAGTTTTGATGGGCCGGGCCCACTCCCCGCTGCCAATGGAGCCATTGTCCGGGAAGGCGTTTGTGATTGACAAAAGATAAGATTGCGTCGGGTGCGCTTCAGCCACGGCATGCACATGGCCGTTACTTCAGGGCCCCTGCGGCTACAGTTCTGAGGCATTTGCTCGAAAAGCAGGTAGCTCGACACTGCAGCACTCCCACCTCACCACCCCAACCCTTCTCCTGAGCTTTTTTATCAAACAATTTCAAACTTCGGCACTGAGTTTGGCAGGGCTGACCTCGGCGAACGCACGCGACTTGGTCCAGGACCCAATCAAATGAAACAGGAAAAAGGCAATCGGCAACCAAGTGGTACGAATACGCTAGACTCCGCTAGACTGCGTCTTGCCTCCATTCATTGGCGCTCAGCATCTCAAACTCACCACCATAAATCGCTTCGAGCACAGATCGCTCGTCTTCAGCGCCTGCAGAAGTGCCACACGGCTGGGACTTTGCTCAGCTGGCTTAGCTGTTCAAGCGCACCCTGGGACTACAAAGGAGGTCTGGAGCATGGAGGCACCTGGATCTAGCGTCACTTCGTGGTCCTCTGGTTTGTGCCTGACGGCCAAGTTGAAACAAGAAGATTTTTTGCCAACAGGTTGCACACTGAGGAGTGAACTGCGGTGAGCGTGCGGCAGAAGGCGCATGCTTGACATAGCCGTGGGCATGCGGCTTTGCCTCATGTGCACAAGCCGGCCTGTAGGCTCATCGGCCAAACTAGCCAATGCAGCTTGGCGGCACTTGAGTGGATGGATACAGCTTCCGGCACAGGGGTTCGCTCTTTCGCGTGCCAGCCCTGCGACGTTGACCACGATGCTTGTTTTTCCCAGGATTGCTGCTTCCTGTAGGATTGCAGCTTTGGCATGTTCATGTGGAATGGCTTGCCGGATCCTTGCGGCTTACTTCCGCGCCTCTGCTTCTGAGAAAGGCGTCCCCGGAGTCGCATCTCTTGAGTGTCCCTAGGGGCGGGGTTCTCCGCCAGCCACGGTGCATCCGAGGCATCCTGCAAGTGTACTTGCTCTCCTTGCTTTTGGTCTGCGGAGTCTGCAGGAGCCGAAGCCGGGGCTTCCGTCGCTCTTGCAGGCAGCGTGCCCCAAAAGCCTCTGGCAACGGTCCGACTGATAAGAGTTGGATCCACCCTTTTGCTGATGTTCAAATCACAGGGTCAGTACCCAAATTGCTGGTTGTTGCTTGGCATTGCTTGGCCTTTTCTGAGTGTGGCAGCATGGGCAACCCGAACTTTGGCTAGGACAAGGCTTAGACTTATCAACTAAAAAAGCGCCGCTGGTACATTGCCATCAAATAGCCCTCATCGTCACTGTCATCCATTGTAGCTGAGGGATCTCCTCCCTCCGTCCTGGCAGCACGGGTTGGTCTACATCATGCCTGTGATAGCGCACGAGCGCTCAAGTGTCCAATTTCTGGTTCGGAAGACCCAGCAAACTCCTGACCGTAGTGTCCGCCGGACTTTGAGCGCCAAGCTGAGGCTCTGTTCTCTGCCAGCGCCCACGGCGTGGCACCGACGACCCTTCCATGGCTTCATGCGAACCTTGCTAGGTAGATACCGTGCTTGTGTCCTTGCAAAGCGGCTGCAGCCTGTGCCCGGTTGGATTAGGCCTTTGCTGGAACTCAGGGTTTCACGGCTTCTTCTTGAAGAAGTCTTTTGTGTCGCTTGACCGTGCTGAAGCTTGAGAAGGCTCAGCTTGCGCAAACATTCACTCGCATACAGCATCATCTGCGATTGCTTCAGCTTTCGCCAACACAACCAGACTTCTGCAGCCCCGGTTTACAAGGCCTGCTCCTCGCATGGCAGGCTCTGGGCCTCCTACTGCTCCACTGAAAGCCAGAGCCGCTGCATCCGCATAGCCAGAATGCAGAGTGCAATCTGAAGCCTCTCGCCTTACACGTGGCTGACCTCGTAAACATCCTGCCTCCTGCGCAGTCGCTGAAAGAGATATTGTTCCGCTGTCGCCTGGACAAGTCTCTTGTCATTGCTGGCCTACTCTTCGGCTGATTGAACATGGCATGGCAGGCAGCACTCTTTTTACAAGCCATCTTCAAAAAAATCTTCAACGTCTGTCTCAGCTCCTGCCCGCCAAACCAACCTTGGCAAAAACAGGCGCATGTGCTGGCTTGATGACTGCCGAAAGAGGGAGCACAAGTGCTGCGGAGCAACGTTGTATCCTTGCCTTCTTCCAATGTGAAATCCTGGAAGGTCAGGACACTTCTTGGAGCCACGTCATCGCGGTATGAGCTGGCCTCCTGGAAGGAATGGGACCTTGAAAGGCAGCATTGTGACACTGGCAAGTAAACCCAAGAACCCATCACTTGCGCATCTGCTCTGCAAACCAAGCTACAACTCGACTTCCGCTGGGTTCTCGTCCTCTTCGAGCTCTTTGTCGGGTCTGGAGCATAGCTTGGGCAAGCCATGCCCGACGAATAGCTTTCCAAGGAAAGACTTCGCTGCACAACTCAAATGCCCGCCTCCTGCGCTGAACGACTCGATGCAGCTCAGCCAGCTCTGGACCTGCCATAAGAAGGCCTTCTAGAAATAACAATTGCAGTCTGCTGCTTAGTTCTTCTTCCAATTTCTGCCGAGGCCAGGTTGCTTTGGAGGTCTGGGGTTGCTCCTATTTCTACATCCGTGCCTGTCGCAAAATCCTGCACGTGCGTAGCCCAAGCTGAGTTGAGCCTCGGCTTGTGCTTTCTTTGCAGGCTGGTTTTGTTGGAGTTTCGGCGAAGCTTGGGTGCCTCCCCAGGGAGGAGATGGTCACCAGGGAGATGGCCTGCTTGGAGCACGAGGATAGGCCTGAAGGGAAGACCCAAAAAGAGGTAGGGGATATGAGGGTATGCTTTCTGGGCAGTCGCAAAAGCATCTCTTGGGCATGAACGTCGGAGATACTCATGTAAACTTGCAGGAGGAGACAGATGCAGCATGATGTCAAAGCCTCAATCAACAAGATCACGGTGGGTCAGTGTAGACTCATTTATTTTTGGGATGCGCACTAACAGACCGGACCGTTGGCCATGGCTCAGAGCTGTGCACAATCTGCAGCCTGGCAATCACGGCTGCATTGAAGTACATCCTTCAGATGGCCACACACACGTTCTGTACTCCAGCCTCTTGGATGCCAGCACTTTAGCTGGCATGATTCTGCGAAGTTCTTCTTCAAGAAGGGAGACCTCGCTCGTAAACACCAGGATGCTTTGCCTTAACAGGCACCAAGGGAGTAATCTCTGCGTCTGTCGTGCAGGCAAGACATGTAATATGAGCTATTTTTGTCCTTGATGTCTGGCCTGGCAGATGCTCGTAATATCAATGCAGCCGCTTCTTTGGCGCTCTCTGCATCTTCGACAATTTGCAGGCGGATGTCGGCCTTATCCACTTCAGGGCACTGCTGCCCTGAAGCTGCACTGCAAAACCACATGTTGCTAAGGATGACACGCTGCGCAGGCCGTTGGCAAATTGCCTCGCTAAGCAAGCGCTTGCGCACTCAAGCTAAAGCCGGCGCACTGCGGACTCCGGTGGCTTGCTCTTATAGTGCTGTCGAAATGCAAGCGAGCTGGAGAATTAACCAACGCAGCCTCTGCTGCGGTCCATTCGGCGCTCAAGGCGTTGCGGTGAAACACATAGGTGGGTCCCCAGCTTCCTGAATGAGCTCATCATTCATAGCCGGCCAGAGCAACCGCGAGGTAAACAGGTCTAACTTTGAAGCGGCGTCTACTCACAGCTTACTTCAGCTCAGTATCGGCCAGATGGCATCAAGGAGAGCACTTCCTTCAAGGAACGGTGGCCAACTGACTGCCTTAGAGTCGCAAACGTCTTCCGCTGGAGCTTGACAGAGAGTGATTGTGCCAGGGAGCAAGTCATCAACTATGATCAGCGATACGCGGGAAAGCAGCTCTGGATCCTTCCTCACGATCAAGCCATGCATTGCAACCTGCCCTGCTGCGGAGGCTTCTTCATGAATCAAATTGCTTGCATCCAAGGGGCTGAGCATGGTAAAGGATCTTGAGGGTGCCTACAAGTGTCCTGCAGAAAAGTGCAATTTGCCCGCAAAGTTTCCAAAATTGCATGTGTTTTGTGTGCCAGGAGTGGTACTTCGTGGCAGAATTCTCGGCTTCGGCCGAGGGTCTGTCTGAGAACGCGCGCGCAGTCGTCATCAGACATCGACTCTCGGCATGCGTCACAGAACCTGCACGGTGAGAATCAACGAGCGTGTCGAGCGATATCAATTAGTGCATCATCCGTGGGCCTCTTCGCAACAGCGCTAACGCACAAGAGCAGCACGTCCGGTCGCCCGGGAGGAGTTCGCGGCAAGGCTGCCAAGTGCCGCAGGGCTAGGATGCCCTGAATCTTGATGCGTTGATCCTGCCCATGCCCGACCCATGATATTCACAAAGAGTGCCAGAAACCGTCTTTGCAGGAAGGACACGGTCGGGATTGCACCGCTGGCAATCAAGTCTTGCCCTGTCTGCGTCCTCGGTCTTGCTATGAAAAAGCGTCCTCTTGGCGCTTCCGGCCAATCCCTTTGCTGTCAAGCGGCGTCTCCCAGATTGTGGTCGCAAGGGCATCACTTGCCATATTGCTCGAATCTCCACACCTCGAATGTTTCTTCCGTTCTCATTCTTTGCAGCTACACACACAACGGCACAATTAGTGAAACCTTTTCCTTCTATGCACAGGACGAGACTGCTTCACGTGTCACAACTATAGTGTACATTGCTTCTCTTGAGCCAGATCTGTATGGGCATGGTGGACGTGTTGTACAACCAATCGGCAGTACCCCTGATCAAAACGCAAGATCTGACGGAATGGGTGGGTGGGCGGGCGGGCGGGCGGGTGGGAGAAACTAAAGGTGAGTAAGAAGACTACACTCGGGCCGAAGCTTCAAGAGTGTGGCATGTCGGGTTCCTAGACCCAGTTCAGCCGGATCTCTGCACAGGAACAAAGCAGGTCTTGCTTCCACACAAACGGCAAACCTAATGGACTGGCTACGTATGCACTTAACAAAACGAGCGAGCAAAAGATCGTAAAACCCGATGCTGAAGCTCAACCGCGCAGCTCTCGCCTGAATGCCTCCATAGCTTCAGCCTCATTCGGGCTCTACTTGGCCAATTTGTTCAAGCAACCGCTTTGGAGATGACTTGCCATCAGCAGGTCTGAGGAGGAACTGGCGCCGCTTGGAGGTCGGCAGACTCCACAACCAGGCCATGCTTGTCGAGGAAGTCTTTCCACTGTGGGGAAGGTCGTGTGGGTCCTGCGCAGCCGCCACGGATTGGTGTGCCTTATGCAGTCACGCGCCACAGTTCGGCCTGAAGGCGTGAAAGGGCATGGCAAGGCCGGCTGCTGCGCAGAGAGGGCGAAAGACATCATTGGCTCCTTCGCTCGCTTCGCTCGTTGTAAATCGCCGCGCTGGGAAACGATCTGCCTGTATGTGGTCCCGCCTCCAGAGGTTTGGTCGGGCGTGGAAGCACTTCCACGGACACCAGCTGGCCCTGAACGAGGTAGTCACTGCACCTGAGTCTGCCCATCACGTCTAGAATCTAGAACTCCAAACAGCTAGCCGGGACCAAACGCCAAGCTACCGTGGGTTTCGCACGGGCAGCTGGATGCGATGTGAGACCAGCAACTCCTTGCAAAGCAAAGCACCAGCATGCACCGACCGACAGCAATCAACTGCTTCACATGCTGGCCTTGATAGGAAGCACGCCTAACACAGGGCCAAGTTCAGGCTCTGCAAGACCTTTGCAGGCGAGTTGACTGCACGGGACTGGCCATGAGGCACGTGACAGCAGCTTGGCAGACCTGGAGACGTCTCCCAAAACAGCTGCACAATAGCGCTGCGTGTGCGAACTTCACGCACAACTCCTCTCAGCTGCCTTCCCTTGGCTTGTTTCTGAAAGTTTCGTTCAGAATGCGGGATCCGAGATCGACTAAAGAGCCCCAAGGCTCCACGTTGCCAACCAGCAGCCAAGGAAGGGGCTGTGCACTTCCCCAATACCTAGCATCTGACTCTCGCGAGCCCAGCCACAAGGAATTTCAAAGAGTCCAGCAAAGTGGCACTGAGTCGCTCCGCTCCGGCTTGGGTGGCCATTCGTCTTCTCCCTCCCTGCAGACAGGACGCCTCAGTATATGTCACATGCAAAAAACGCTCCGGAGGCAGAGAAAGCTCCAGGCCGTTTAGGTATGCGGTCCAGGACGGGACTTCGCAGTCCTCGGGTGCTGCGCTTGGCACGTTGGGGTTGCAGTGCAACATCAAGTGCAAGGCCTGCACCGAGCCCTCGCGAGAGCATCAACGGCAGCAGGCCGTCAGCTTCTGACCCTACCTGAAATGCCATCTGATGCATATGCTTTAGAATCGGAAGAGAGAGAGAGAGAGAGAGAGAGAGAGAGATATATATATATATATAGCAAGCCTTGCCGTGCAACCAAAAGTCTGCTAGCGGGCTCAACTGCACACTGATGTCGCAGTCCACAGCGACCTGTTGCCTTTGTGGTAAATACACATGGCAAGCTGGAAGACAAGTCTATATAGCCGCTAAGCCTGGCCTCTGCGCTCCAGGCAAGGCCTGGCATGAGTCCCGGCAGGCGTGTCTCACGGCCAGAAAGTTTTTGTTTGCAGCATTGTGGCATCCCCAAATTTTTCCAGGTGGCGGAGACTGTATGATCCGATGTGGAGCTCTTGGTTTGTTGGCAAAACCCCTGGACTGCCAGAAAGCCCTATGGCACAGCCGGCAGCCACAATCGCAGCGCCCATGTTAACAGTTTAGGAATGGGGACAAGGATTTGCCGTTTCTCATGTTAACCACCTCTCTTCTGTTTGTGTCACATGAACTTTTTCGGACAAAAGAGGGCGAGGATGATGGACCGATGAAACATTACATGACATGGATACATGCATGTCACGCCCTCGCTTGCTGCTGCCATTGTAAGATCTTTTCTGGGGGGTCCTGAAACTTTAGATGGCATGCGACTGCTGGAAGGCAATCTTTTCTTCAAGCCATCTTTGAAAAGCGCGGGCGCGCTGCAAGCAAGAACCGTGAGTGCCTGAAGGTTGATGAAGCCTTGCATGGGTGAGAGTTCCAGCTGCGTGCCGGAGCCTGTCAAGTTTCGGCAGCCGTCAAATTGAGGCTTGCAGGATCGGTCGGGCCTTTGGGAGCTTCCCAGTAGAGCTGCACGATAGCCTTGTCGTGCTGCACCCTGCGCACTCTACCCAGGATATGGCTCGCCTGACAGGGCTGCAATCCGAATTCGTTTGCCACATGACATTCTCCAACTTTGCAGCCACGCAGCTACGATACCCTGCAACAGATACGGCAGCGGCCGGGCCGCCCCATTCCTAGGGCCCTAGAACCCATGAACTTGCTTTGCACGCGTGCGCTGTGCAGCTTCTGTCCACAGCTCATATGCACGAAGCAGGGTGGTCTAATGCAGAAAACAGCAAAAACAAGCGAGGAGTAGTACCCTTCCACCCTGCGCAACCTAGCATGATGTCCTCTACAACCTGCATGTGCTCAAGCAAAGCAAGTGAGCCGAGTTTCTCTTTCCATCCTCGAGCCTTGGATCAGATAGGATAGGCAACAGCCGTAGTGCACTTGGACGCAAGTCTACACAGTGGCGGCGCCTGCTGAAGTCGAGATCGCCCTGGGGCAGGCCTCTGCAAGCTCAGGGAGGAGCTAGGCCGTGCGTTCACTGCGTCCCACTACAGCACTACAGAAGGTCTGGCACTGCTGAGGCACTCAGCCATGCCAGAAGGTTCACAAAGCATACGCATCTCTAGTCTCACACTTTGTAAATGTACGAACATTATGCATCTCACCGCGCTTTGTGGGTTGCCATGTCAATCTTACCTGGAAGAGTAGCTAGTTTGCCATCATTATGATCACAAGACATCACAAGGCTCTACCAGCGCCCCGAATGGATTTCTGTGGAAGTCCTGGCAAGTATGTGGGCTTTTGCTGTCTAGAGACAGGACCCCGTAATCTTGATTGTTTCAAGAAGGCCCAACAAGTCTCTGAGGGCACCTGCGGCCACCCACCCTTGTGGCACTGCAGCTCCTGCTTCTGGACCATGCCACCCCTGCTGTAGGATTCAATGAGCAAATCCTCTGCTAGAATCGCAAGAAGTCGCACCTGTCCACGAGTGTGTAATGCAGCAGCTCCCAGAAGTGGCCTAGGCTGTGCGTGCAGGGACTGCATCTGCTCCTTACTGAGCCGGTTTCGGCAAACCGTCGAATGCTTAACAAGCATAATGAATGCACGTAGCCGGTAATCCTTTGTGTGTGGGTTCAGGTGTTTCCCTGCATGTTGAGAGCAAAGCTGATGCCGCAGCTAGCAGGACAACGTGTTGTAGAGGTTTGCATCCGCCAGCCTTAGAAATTGAAAGTCAAAGGAGTCTCAAAGCGAAGCTCCAGCAGACACATGCGGCTTCCTGTGGTAGCTTCATGCAGCTAAGTCTGCCGAAGCTTTGGGCTCGCGAAGCTGCAGAGCTGCAAGCTCAAGCGCTCGATGCCCCATGGAGGCCCCGAGAAAAGTATGCTTCACCAGGCGATGCCCTACCCGCGTAGCAGTTCTGTGAGCCGTCAGCGTTTACATGGGGATGGCTGGACGAAGCGGACAGCAGCCGACCGGTGCTTCACACAATACGGGGTGTCAAGCGAACTTTTGCAAACGGATGGCCAGCGACAGCCAGGCCTAGAGGCTGCTCTGAAGCCGATGCGTGCGATGCGCCAAGCCTGGCACTCCCAGCGCAAATTTGCAGCATGCTTTGGTTCGTCCTTTGCAGTGCTCTTTCTGGCAGGCTTCAAGCCAGCCGAGAACACAAAGTCTCTGCGTCCAGGCTGGGCCTCGGGACTTTCAGATTCTTCAGATTCTCCGAACTAGACTCATCAGAAGCATGGGCCTCTTGACATTGTGGCCAAGACGTCAGATCATGACATCACACCATCTGGACTTTTTGCGGCACAAATGCTCAGATCTACAGCGGACACCATGGGTCAATGTTCAGAGAGCAGACGCTTTATGTCGTCGACAACATCCGCCCACATGCCCTGCAAGCCAGAGGACTTGCTGGACGTGCGCACAACATCCCTGACAGTAGTCTATGAGTCAGCTGTCACTGTTTACACACCCACGTTTAGCCGCGTCGCGTGCATGCGGGATAGATAACCATCCATTGAGCCTCGCTTCATCTTGCATCCACAGCAGGCACGACCCTATCCTGGCACACCCCAAGCAGATGTTCTGATACGAGAAGCTCAGCAGGCTCGGCATCGGTCCTTGGATCAAGCAAGCGCTCCACCATGTCATCATGCTGGACTACCTTTTGCTTGTGCTTGCGGACTTGTCAAATGTTACAAGCCCTGACCGAGCAGATGGAGGGCACACGCCGGCGTAGTGGGTAGCTGGACTCTCCCCAAAAGACTAGTACTTATGTTATCATAGCAATAAAAAAAGGGGGTGACAATAGCGTTTTTGTTGCTGGGCCGGAAAACTCCCGGACAATCAAATTTGCTTTCTAACTTAAGGTCCATCGGCAATAATACAGGGGTGGCAATAATATATTTTTCCGGCCCGAAATATCCTGATTTTACTAGATTTCCTTTAACTTGTACTACTGGTACTACGAGCTGCACTACCTAGTCCTACCGCCACCCCCGTCATTGATTATTGAGACCACCCCCCTTCCATACGCACAAATCGAACAACAATTTTTGGGGGGCTTATTATTGTCATGGTAACATTACATGCACAACGGCGGGTTATGCTAACAGCTGAAGCTTTCCCTTCGCGCGAGAGACGGGCATGGGCGCAGGCTTTCAAATTGCATTTGCAAACTTAACGTGATCTAACATGAAGGCGTGCAAGAACCATTGCTCCAGTTGGAGGAGAACTGCCTTTCTCGCTTGTATTGCAGCTTTTGATGTGCAGTTACTGCATTGCGCGGCCTGCGCATGTAAGCGCCAGTCGTGGAAGCTGCATCACACAACTCGTCCTGCCTGCTGTGGCGTGAGAAGTCCCGCAATTTCGTTCTCTTGCAGGACAAAAAAGGCCAAGCCCGGTTACTCCGTACCGGTGTGTGTGTGTGTGTGTGTGCCCACTCTTTGCAAAAGCTGATGAGAAATGTCGCTGACAAGTCTCAAGAAAACAGAAAGTGCTTACAAACATTGAATGTCAAGCGCCCATAGGTGCTATCAGTGTCGTGCTGCTGTGGCATGCTTCTTTCAACCTGCTCAATGCCAAGCCTGGTCCCCTACCTTGCTGACATGTGTGAACTCGCCGTGCTAGCTACAATCAAAGTGGACAACAAACAGAATACCAGGTGTTTCCCTAATTTTTGCCGAGCGTCGCACACCAGAGCCACCAACAACAAGCAAGGGAGCACACATCTCCTGCCCCCAGTCTAGGCCGTACTCCACATGGGCGTCCAGCTTGTCGGAGTTAAACCTGAATGCACAGCTTGATGAACGACGCAGAAATGACATCGTCCTCCAGTAGCAAAACACTTGCATGACGAATGGCATGCAGTGCTGGAGCAACTGCTGCCCCGCACGCAGTTGTAGACGCGGCCAGCCAATCTCAGGCAAATTGGCAAAGGATTGTTCCTGCAAAGAGTGTTTCAAAAGCATACACTCACACAACCACCAAAAGAATAGACTCCTGGCAGAACCGTATTTCTTCAGCTGCAGCTTGCATGTTTTCTGCCCCATCTTGGCCGACATGGTTTGCATTGCAGCACCAGCACGACACGCACCAGCACGACCCACACCCCCACGGCCCCCACCTCCACCCCCACCACCAGCACCACCACCACCCCCTGTATGAGGCCCGGGTGATCTCGGTAGAGATGTACTAGCTGAAGAACCTAAGCTTACACACTTGTTTTCTGCTCTCAGGCAAAGAGTACTATGCCTTGAACCACTGATGGCAGCGGGGGTGCGAGGTATTTTGGGAGTCATGTGAGCGGTAACTGCTAGCGCCATAAGGCAACCGAGTACAACTGCTAGCCGCCAGTGCGACTGGGTCCTGGGGACCACCGATATACCCGGATTCTTGGTTTCTCTCTGAGAGATAACCTGCAGCGTCTGAATCATAATCAGACATTGTTGGTGCTCACTAGGAAGGCGAGCTCGATACGGCTCGCTGCTAGTGCAGCTTCTCCAGTTAGTACCAGTCTCCGCCGACTGAGCTCCGCTACCAGAAATTGTATCCGGCCCGGGGAATCTCATACACGAATGGAAAAGCTAGGTAATATCACACTCTTTTGTTATACTTAGGAACATATTGTCCTTAACCACTCACAGTTTAACAGCAGAGGCAGAAACACATATCAGGTATGGCCATAGAAATACTTACAGACACAGCATATACTGTTGCTGTAGGCTTACAGGAGACACCGCCGCCACCCGCAGCACCCCTTACCACCGCCACCACCGCCACCGCC